AAAACAAATAAAAAAAGTATTAGGGACAACTGCCTCCACACTCCATAGGCTGAATCCGTCCGTGTCTCCCTCTATCCTTGTCAACCTATCCATTAACCCAATTTAGTCCATATAGATTTAGACAAATTTCAATTTTAAAATTAGAATGCTCGGGTTATGTTTTGAATTCCTAACATGTCCTATATATTTTTTTAAAAAGTATATATATATATAAATATTTCTTTTAAAGTAATTATTTATTAATAATATACTTTTATCTTATAAATTATACTATTTATAACATGATATTATATTTATAATGATATTTTTTATTTTAAAATTACAATTGATTAATTTCATTATATTTTATATTCTAGTGTAACATTTTTTTTTAAATTTTGTGTACAAAAATAATCATCATTAAGTGGATTATAATGATTTTATAAATCTCAAATCTTAAACTAAGTACCCTAACTTATCATATGTGTATATCTTTTTTATACTAATGCTTCTACTAACTTTTTTATATTCATTTTTTCAAGTACATATTTTAATAAAATGTCACAACTTATCATTTTAAAAACTAAGTATCTTTATTGTTTTGGGTATTTTTATTTTGTAAAAAAGTCAAAGTCAATCACTTCGTATATATAAAGTAGAAATTATTATCTTGTTTCCATTATTTAAAATTTCTAGATTCATATATATTTAAAACACAATATATTTAGTATAACAATAAACTTATAATACCTAAAAAACAATATAAATTGATTCTAAAATTCTCACATTGATAAAATGGTTCCTAAATTAATAAAACGACAAAATAAGTCCATAAAATTGTAAATTTTCAATTAATTTAGTTCCTAAAAATGCTATTGATTAATTTGGTCCTTAAATTTTTTTAAAAAATACAAAATAATCCCTAAATTTTGTAACTATTAATAAATTTAGTTTCTCTGCGTTACTGCTATATGAATTAATTAGCTGATATATTGGTGGAACAACAATTCAGTTTTCTCTCTCATATTATTTGTTCTTCTTTACTTCAGTCCATTCGTTTTGTATTAGATTCTTATCTAGCCAGTGAAGATGTGACAATTAGGGGGGTGTATTGGTTTAGGATTTCGTAGGATTTTAAAAGACTTTTTTTGAGTAAAAAAGTCCATTGGTATTCAATCAGGATTTTATGTCACTTAAAAACAATCCAGTGGTATTCAATCTGGATTTTTAGGATTTTTTAAAGAGTCCATTAAAATCCACTGGTATTCATTTGAGATTTTTTACAACTTAAAAACAATCCATTGGTATTCAAAAATTTAAGGATTTTAAAGGATTGTTGTGTGAGAGGGATTTTGAAAGACTTTCTAGTGTTATCTATAAATACCAGATTCATAAAACAATCCCATCCAAACCCATCGGATTTTGAAGGATTGTTTGAAATGATTTTTCAAGTGTTTTAAGAATTTTCAAGTGAGTTTTTCATCTTTTTTTTCTATGCTCCTGTCTTCTCCATTTTTTCTCTACTAATAATACTACACTATTGTTCATTGCTCATATATAATACTATTCTCATACCATTCTCCTATTTTGTGAAACTCTAATATGTAAATGATAGTGTCATTGACTTGTTTTATTTTTCTGTTCGTTCTCTTTAATTGACTTACTTTATTTTATTCTATGTAGTTGAATTTGTTCCTTTATATAACACAAAAAAATACTTGAAATTTTAACTTTTAAGTGGTAATTTTTTTTATGACACACGTTAAGAAAAGAAAAAGGTGAAAGATGAAATTGATATCATAATCTCAACAATATATATATATATATATATATATATAAAAGATGAATTTGTTAGGGTTTTTGTGAGTAGAATGAGATAAAAATGGATCTTAGTAGGGGGAAGAACCCTCTTAGCATAAAAATTGCGAATTCTCTCTTTCCCTTGAATTTGTTACTCTTATCCCTCCTCCTTTTATGACTCAACAATTATTTTATTTTTTTTACTATGAATTTTTCTTTTTTATTTTTATATTATGAAATTAAGATTTTTTATATTTTAAAAAAAGAAAATTAACATAAGACATTGCAATATCTAATTTTTTAGGGTTTAGGATTTATGCCTTCATTAACTTATTTTTTAAAAAAGAAAATATTGTTAAAATATTTGTTAGAATAATTTATATTTATAAATATCGTTAAAAATTCACATATATATATATATATATATATATATATTCTCTATATCTAAATACTTCTGTTTATATAAAAAAAATTATATATCTAAATATTTTTTCAGTATCGAATATACTAATTTTTTTATATAAAAAATTATCTTATGTTTCTATATTTTCGTTTTTACATTTTTTTTATAATAACTGAGGTATTTGATCCATTTGGATAGCAAAAATATATTCGATCTTGTATGATGGTGTGCTTCTAAAAATAATAATATAATTTTATTGATTTTGTCTATTATCCGTAATTATTTATATAACTATTTTTTAACATATATTGTTTTAGTAATTCAAATGGGAGATTCACAAGAAAATAATAAAGAAAAATGAAAAGAGAAAGAAAACTATGAAGCTTGGATTAAGGATGATTCCGATGAATTGTTACAATTGATAGTGGATGCTATAAAAAGAGGATAGAATATTATAGAGAATTATTATTATTATTTATCTAGACATTATTTTTTTTATTTATTATTTTTATCTTTGACTCTTTTTAAATTTGAATGTATAATTTTTTTTAAATCTTATCAAATGTCAAAACTCCACAAAATCCCACAGAATCCATTAAAATCCTAATTTAAAAGTCTTGCAGAATCCATTAAAATCATGATTTTAAGTCTTGTAGAATCTTGCAAAATCTTAAAAGTCATGAAAATCCTGCAAAGTCTTTTAAAATCCGCAGGATTTTTTTTAACTAAAAAAGTCCTTTAAAATCCTAATCCAATACACCCCCCTTAGTCTTCGATCTACCCATAATTAACTAGTGGCAACGAAACTTTGTAGCTCAAATAAATTAACCTTCAAGCATGCATATCAACCAAATGAAAAATACTTTTCAAACGCATATTGGCTGAAATTAATAAATTTTTTTTTTTGCAAATCATGTAATCACGTGAACCTCACTTTCTATCTAATGAATCTCATTTTATAATTTTTTTAAAATAATTTTAGTTGTGTAAAACTGTATATTAGTGTCCCATATTTTAATCATGTAATAGCATTTCTCTCGGCGAAGTTGCCAGACACGTCACACGTTGTAACATTAAAGCGGGAATTATTTATAATAAAGAATAATAATAATGGAAACATTATAAATGGTCAAAATAGAAAATAACACCTAAATAAGAAAAGTTGTATTTTACGAAAGCAGAGAGCAAAAGTTAAAACTAGACTCCATAAGCATAGCCATCCAACACTTAATCAAACAAACCAAAGCCCATGTCAGTATCAGATTCTTCTTCCGATTCTTCCTTCTTTGCCTCCTCCTTCGTTGCAGCAGCTGGAGCAGTGCCACCACCAGCAGGTACTGCAACAACAGCTACAGCAAATTTACTAGGATCCTGCAATCAACATGTCAATGGTCACTAATTAAGAAACATGAAAATAATTAATACAAAAGTTCTAACTATAGCACCTTTACAGGATACTTGTTAAGAAATAAAAATTATTTTTTTATTAATAATTATAACCCATAAATATTTCTTACATTCTCTTCTTAATACTATTTTTATTATTGATTGAAAATTACAAATTTTGATAGATCTTATCATTAAATTAGAAGATACTCACTTAATAAGATACAAATTTCTATTACTTTACAATGTAATGACATTGTAAAGTAATTTTATATTATCTATCCAACACAAATAATTAGTTATAATTTATATTCACTTTAATAATAAAAAAATAAATTATATTAATAATGATATTTGATTTATCCATAGTATCTACATACCTTCAAGTAGTCCTTAACTTTGTCTGCCTGAGGGAAGGAATATTCTGTTGCGAGTGCAACGGAGAGGATGTTCTTGTAGGCATTGACAAACATGTGTGGTGCAGCTGCAATTGTAGGGTATGAGATAGCCAAGGAAAGAGAAGACACCATGGACACACCAAGAGCAAACCTCTCAACGAGGTCATCATCAGTGAGGTCAAGAACCTCAGGGCTAAAAACTGAACCATTGTCATAAACAGAAACCACAACAAGCCCATAAGAGAATGGCCTTATCCCAAGCTTGGAAAGCAATGCTGATTCTGAAGAGCCAACCTTCTCTCCCTTCTTAATCAATTCCACAGGGGTGATAATTTCCACAGTACCCTTATTAATCTTGGTAGGAATGTTAAGCACCTGAAATATATATAATTTGTATATACATCAAATTAACGTAATAAACACCATATGTTATATTCACTTTTTCTTCTAGGATTAGGAACAAGATTAATTGCAGAAACCTGGAAGAAAGAAGTCTGAGAGGGATCCAGCCCTGTGTTGCCTGGAGGAACAACAACATCAATAGGTGCAACTAATCCAACACGAGCAGGAGCTCCCACCTGTAAAGAACATTTCAATAACAACAATATTAATATTCAAAACTGAATATATAGCAACCAAGCAGCAGCTTAAAGCTAAATTTTTTCATGCAACTATGCACCAAACTTCCAACACCATACAGATATAATTTCTTGGCTTAATTACTTTTGCTTCACTTTCTCAAATTTTCCATTTCCATCTTCCATTTTCTTTTTTTAATTTTTCACTTTTGCAATTACACAATACAGACTAATTTCATTATTTTAATTAAGTAATTTTGATCCATAACTTTAACATCTAATATTTTAGAAATACTGATGAGACAATTTACTGCACCACTACATGCACAACATTTTTATTAAATACCGGATGTTAAGTTCATGCGTGAATCAAAATTGTGAACTAAAATTGTAGGAGATCAAATTGGAAAAAAAAAGAGGAAAATAATGGAATGAAATTTGTGAAATTGAGAAATAAATAAGGAGAACAAAAGTGTAATAAACTATATTTTTTTAATAAAAAATCAACACATAGCATTATATACAAGAAAAATATTGCAACTGAAATGTGAGACATAAAAGGAGTTATTTGAGTGTTTGTAAATTTTGAATGTTTAGATATCATTATTCATTTCCAAAATATATCCATAAACCATGCATAAACCGTCTTCCAATAAGCTTTGCAGGGTATAAAATTTATTAGAAAAAATTTACACACTGGCTATTTGCCAAAGACGATTGATTCATTGCACCACATTAAAATTAAATAAAAGCACCAAAAATAAAAACGGTAAACAAAACCTAGCAAGTGAAAATCCCTACCTTGTACTTAGCAACAACTTCGCTAACCTCCTTCACGTCCCCTTTGGTGAAAATCAACCCCACGTTACCCTGCAAGATTCAACGTACATTAAATCAATCGACCAATCACTTGAATGGTTCAAACTCACAAACATTAATGCCAAAACACATTAAGGTTGGCCTAATAACAAAAAAAAAAAACTTAAATAATATACATAAAATCTTACCTTCTAACTTTATTGTTAATACAGAACTATCGATAAAAAAAGTAATGATATATAAAAACTTGTAAAATATTATTTTTGTATGTCCATTTTTTGAATGTTATAGAAATTGTTGCATGTGTATCATTTCATCGGATGGAAAGTCCCAAGAATATTAAGGTACTGACCACTAGAAGGGGAACAAGGTTGAGGTAGATGTTGTTGCCAGTGGCTTCGGAGTGGAGCTTTATAGAGCGCTTCATCATGGTGTTCTTTCCCATGAGCACAATGGAGTCGCCACGTAGACCCTTTCGAATGTTCTGAAGCTGGTTAGATCCCACGTTGTCAGCAGCCACCACCAGAATTTGTGTGTAAGTGTCCAGAAGCCGGCACAGTTTAGCATCGTACGCTACCTTCTTCTGCGCTTTCGTCGGTTTCACCGCCATTGATTAATATGTCTTCTTCTTCTTTTTCTTATACTTTTACTCGGAAAATGGCAACAAAATATAAGCAGAAAAAGGGCCAAGAGGAACCAATTAAGCTAGGGCTCAGTCAAGACCTCCTCTCGGTGAAGAAATTGTTAGAACTGAACTAGAAATGTTTTGGGAATAATAAACACTAGTTAAACTAGGGTTACTAAAATAGCATTACAACCAACACAAAATAAGATAACAGCCACGATTATACTGCTCCTATAATTGTGCTATATTTGACTAAATCAGAAACAAATTAAAATAAACAAACTTGTCCCTATCTACAGTTATTATCACCCTCCCCAAAATATAATATTTATATATGAAGAGTAATAACCGGTTAACATGAAACTATTCCTGATATATAATTCATCATAAAGACATAATTAACTAGATAACCTCAAGTACTTCTTCTGTGATGGGTGCTCCATGTACCTACTAATTAGACTTACGGTGAACATGAGATCAGGACGTGTAGCTGTTAATTAAATACTTAAATACATAAGACTTCATTCCAACCATATGCATACTTTCGTTGACTAATAAATGTGCCATATGCAGTTTGCACCACTTCAGTCTTCAACGCCTAGGAAATTACCTCATCAGTTATATCAAATTCAGTCATCATGTACCTTTTAAATTGCTTTAACAGCATCTCATCATTCCCGCTCATAAAAGGCATATGTATAATCAAAATTTTACCTCCATTCTCAGTAACATTTAAGAAATGTTGGTTAATTGTGTATAAATGTTACTAATTTACTTTAGCAATATATTATTAAATGTTGTGTATAGTCCATGTTACTAAACCTTTAATAACATTTTTACATAATTAGGCAATATTTTTCAAAGGTTAACAAAGTTTTATTTTTGTAACATTTTTATGATGTTGCTAAAATTTTGTTAACTCTATAAAATGATAATTAATTTTAATTTAGATATTACTATCAATCTTTAAGAGAAGATTAAAGACATTCTTAATTTGTTTTAGGGGAAGACATTCTTAGTTAATCACCACTAATTATATATAAAATATCAAAATTTATTTATCTTAAGTATAATTATATGATTATATATATACTCTTTATGAGTCATTCATCTATTCGATGTGAGACTTTAATTATGAGTAACAATCATAAATGAGAGAAATATACTTCTTTTTACTCGATGTGAGACTTTGATTTTAGAAGCAATTATAGTCAAATATTTCGATATAACCTATGTTACATTTTTTTATTCAATATGAGACTTTGATTTTGAGAACAATTAGAAAGAATAATATTGAAATAAAAAATGTTATTATATCTATAGTAACATTTTTCAAAAAAATGTTACAAAATAACCTATTTATTTAATATATAGTAACATTTTAACAAATATAAGAAAGAAAATGTTGTTAAAGAATTAAAATCTAATAGTGTGTCTTGATGAGCGATGAAGAAATATGACTCTGATTGTAACATATTATTTTCCCTTTCCTTAAGAAATAAGATTCATATTCTCCGTAATAGTAAATTTATCAGTAAGTTTAACTTACATAGGAGTTTGTTTTATTCTATTTTTTTTTTCTTATAGGTACTTTTCGATAAGTTTAATCAAATATAACTTTAAGTTGAAAGGAGTTCTCACCTAGGGATGACAAAAATATCCGTACCCGCGGGTATCTGCGGGTAAAATCCGCTACGGATAATAAATGAATAGGTTAATTGGGTACCCGTGGATAATGGGGACGAATAATTTTTTACCCGTTTATAAACGGGGCGGGGGCGGGTATGATGATATCCATACCCGCGGGTACCCGTTTAATAATATTTCTTAAATATCCTAATTAACTTTGTACTACATAACCCTAAAACTATACTCTCATCTTTTTTCTTACAAAAGAGAGGTTGATGAAGTTACCAACATGCGTTAAGCATGTTATAAAATTATGTTGGATGTAATTTGATTAATTTTCTAGCTTTGATTGGACCAATAAAATTTATGTATTTTAAGTTGTTTACTTGCGTTTGAAATTATGAAAGATTGAATTATTGTAGCTTTGTGATAAGACTTTAACTTACTTGTGAGATTGATGTATTTTATGTTATTGATTATCTTGTATTTTTATTATTATTTCAACAAAATTAACGTTAAATACAAGTTCAAAATTAACATTGAATTTTTATTTTTAATATTTCAATGACATTAAATATAAACTTAAAATTATTTGTAATATAACTTTTTAAATTTCTTAAAAATTTATAAATATCCATGGATATCCGTGGGTATTCAAGAAATTTATGAATACCCGCTTAATGAATACCCGCGCGAATATGGGGTGAGTATAGGGCCAATTTTTATCTAGCGAGACGAGAGCGAGTTTATTATTACCCGCCCCCATGGGGCCCATTGTCATCCCTATTCTCACCTAAAGATTTATAAAGAAAACCGGTAAGCTTGATAAATTCAGAACATTAAATTCCACAATATGAAGTTCGACCATTGTTGCAGATTGGTCGGCGAATTCACTGTAGGAAACGTCAGAATCTATTCCTGTAATTTTAGAGGAGGCCAAAAGAAAATCTTTCTTTATTGTAATTGTAAAATTGAGAATCTCCATGGTTGAGTAATTTGAGAGAAATAGAGAGAAGAGCTTAGAGCAAAAACTGAGAATATGTGAAAATGATTTTCATTCTAATCGCTAACAAAGGAAGCTACAGTATATATATTACATCATCCAACCGTTGATTTCTAACTAACTTGAACCAATCAATGATTGAGATCAATCAGCTAACTATTAATAGCAAACTAACTAATTAACTTACATTCAGATACTTGCATATCAAGTAACTAACAGCTAATAACTAATACAATTCTAATAGACCCCCTCAAGCTGGAAGGTGTATATTGTAACGACCCACCTTAGGTCATCACATCAATAACCAACCAAAATAAAAGAGCATTTATAATAAAAAAAATAGAGCAAAAGCCAGCTACGCTAGAGTGTAAAAATTGTTTTCATAATAGCAAACATAAGTATATTAGTCATTCTCAGTAAAATCATACAGTCATCCAAAATATATTAACATTAACCATTAACAGAAACACCCTAGGTGCTGGTCAAGCTCTAAGCCTAGCCACTTCTCAAAGCAGCTACCCAGAAGACTCCTTGCTATCCCATGGCTTCACACCTGATCTGCTCCCCCACATAGTGAGATCATCACAGTTCCACCACATGGAAACATAAGGGTTAGCACGTATAAAACCAACCATAGTATAAATATCATTTAACAATTATTT